GGCAAATCTTCGTAGAATCAATTGGCAATAAAATCCACTTGAAACCTAAATTTATCAGTGTAATGGTAGACACTTATAGGTCGGAAAAGATAATTCTTTTTAATCCTATCTTTTATTAAAACCTGTTTTATTTAGTTTAAAGACGGTTATTAGTGTCGTTACATTAGGCTAATTATAATTCCACTGTTAATTTTCCAGAATCCTTTATATTATATCTATTAAACTTTGTTTAATTGTTTATATATTTGATTACACCCTCCCCCCCCCCGTATATATATACAAAATGTTATCTATTACTAATAATATTTCCATCAATATTACTTATGTATGATATAAACACCATCCCGAACGATAATCAAACTTTTAAGAAGTGAATGCGTAAGTTTTGTTTATAAACATCAAATCTCGATTTCACAATTAACGGCAGAGTGAGGCTGTAATGAGCGTTTTCTAACTGCCGTACTTACTAAATTTAAGCCTCCTTTTGTGTCCCTATCTGTTTTAATATTTGCGAATATTGCTATGATATATATGCATTCTGTTTGTACCTGATCTAAACAATGAAATATAAAAACTAATTATATAGAGATAAGACGCTCAAGGTGACAGTACTTCTTTCCAGTTGTGTGTTGTTGGTGATGGTATAAATCAAATTGTTGTAGTGCCTCTCTGAAATCTTCCTCGCGAGCATATTATCTAAACTAAACATTAACGAGTCTTGTTACTTTTTACTCAACCATGTGATGCGATTTTTAAATGGATATAGATTGTATGACTGTATTTATCTTAAACCCGATGGCTAGAAACAAAATAGATGAATAAGAATAACAATAACACCAATAACAACCATTATCATTATTAATGCTGCTTGTCGTTGTAGTATTATTGAGTAGCGTGTTATAATATTCAAATATTTTATAAGCTTACATACATACTACCACGAATACGATTTATTACTAGTGAGTTAACATGGTGCTCACAAGCAAGCCGTAAACAGGCCGTTGAGTTTAGTTGTGTTCTAAAAAAAGTATGAAATTCTGGAACGCATGGATATAATCAGCGACATAGGAATATCGCAGCATTAGAACAGCACCTATACGCAGCCTTCATCGGTACACATAAACGTTTCCGTAAAAAATATTTAATAATTACGGTGCAAGAAGAATCTTCCATTTTTTGCCAGTACTTTTTGCTTATTGTATCGGCGTTTCACATTTAGAACTTCATTTTTATAATGAAGTGCGGAGAATGCTATGACTCAAATACCGGTATATTTGCAAACTCCATGCCAAATTAAATAATAATTTTGTAATCCGGTCTAATTGTGTCAATTCCGTTTTCCTTTAACATAATTTAAACATAATTATAAGCTATTCTTTATTTGTGGGATTTGAATTTTTCGTTAGTTTAGTGTTCCAAAAATTATTTGATTGAATTAAATATTCCACGAGCCACAGCTACCTTAAGTTTTTCGATACTACACGTACACGTAGTCCCCAATACCTTAACTCGACAAATTTTATATTTCCGCTGCACATAAGACTTTAGTGTCATAGAATGCGAATTATAAAATTGTCCACTATTTATCGGTGACACCCATTATAGTTTCAAAAGATATACTGTAATGGATGGGAAAAATAAGTGCAAGCACGCCAAAAGAATAATGCGTTAACAGAAGCCTGTACTACCACACGGGATTAACCAGTATAGTGTATGGTGTTTAGAAGATTTACTTTTAGAATAAATAAAAAGTTTCTTTGAAAATGGGTTCGAACTTCTACATCTCTATAGTGTTGGAACATGCTACATCGCCTTCTCCATATATATACATATACTTGTATACTCTATATAATGCTGTTTATTACCCTTCCCCAATACCTGCGATGTACGCTTAAGATTCTTAGTTTTTCACTATTTGTATTATCATTACTGTATTCCAGAAATTCTGCTACTAGTTTATATTTTTTGGATTGCATACCACCATTAACTTCCCTCATACGTTTAAGACAAAAAGCTAAACGTTTAAACTAACCATTTAAGAATTGAGCAGAACATAGTAACCGATAAGGCACTCTGTCTAAATTATTTTTCTAATTTATTTGTTAAGTAAGACTACACACAATGTCCACTTTGCCTGCTGTGCCCCTTAATTAGGAAACTTACCTTGCTAAGTATATAATATCATACTTATAAGATCCATAGTAAGCGTTTCTCTACAAAAACTAAAAGTTACTTTAGGGAATGCATAGCTAAGCGTACCAAAGAATAAAACTATCATGACTCTTAAATAAAGGTATATTTTTGCACAATATCGTGCGGGTCTCCAAACATCCACTGAGTCATTTATCGGTTTCAAGAAGCTTCAAAGAAGCCTTCATTAGAAACAGAATTTCCGTTTACCTTAAAAGGAAAATTGTCAATATTACTCCACAGAAGTTTGGCAATTTCTGCCATTTCTGCAAATCGCTATTTCACCTGTGTGTCAATTGGAAAGCGTACACTTCCCACAGTTCGTACAAGAGCATCACCAAAAGATTTTCTTAGGGTAATGCATTTAATTAAACTTTCTGATTTAATAAGCATACCCATGTGTATCGGCAATAAGGCTTTAATAAATACACAATCTTTCACATATGTGTGATTTGCCTTTAATTAGTTTCGAATAATTTTAAATGTGAGTTTAAATATAAACATATAATTACTTTTTAAATCGAAAAAAATTGTTGATCTTATGTTTAAGGGGTTTCAGAAAAATTAAAGATAATTAATTTATTCGGATAATATTTCTATATATTTCTATGAGGTTCTTAAGGAAGGCTTGACTAAGACCCATTAAGTAAGGACCAAGTCAAACCAATAAAACATTATTTATTATTTTTTTCACTTTTTTTATTCAGTTATTCACTTTTTTATATTGTGTTTATTTAGCCACCGAACTTTGAGGCTAAGCACAAACCCAAGTACGTCTCCAAATTTTTAACGATGAATAAATTAAAATAATGTATTCTAACCTAACTGATTAGTTATTGAGATTACTAGGCAATGTTTACTGATATGCAAACTTAGTAGCGCTTATTAGTATAATGGAACTGCTCACTTCCAGCGGCATCTCGAACTAAATCAATCGGGATATAATAGCGAAATGCGCCGCGAGTGTTTCCGTTCATATTACATTATATATCGAAGTTCACAACCCAGACTATTTGATACTTCTCAATATACACGAGCATGACCCGGTTTTGGTTACACGGTGAGCGGTCGTGGTTTACCCTCAAAGAATAGTAGAATCTAGGCTATCAATACCTCTTAGCCTGAGTGCCTTAATGCCTCACGGATTTCACCCGAAGCAAAGTGCGAAAATTTGTGGTTGTCCAATATTTTCATGCCAATTCATTGATTGTATTATGGTCACTTCAGTGGCGGACAGACAGTGTGAGTTACGTGCCAACCCTGACGCTAGGTGTGATTGGAGAAACCTCTTTTCTGGTTTTACGTTCGGCACCGCCGTTGGGCATTCCATGAGATGGTTGGCTCCCAGCACAAAATGAAATGTGTCTGTTCCCGGATTAGAATTTAGATCATCAACATGTCTCTAACAATAGCAGCCAAATACGTTACCCACAAATCTATCACGAAAACATGGTCAAATAGATCTACAAAATACTATCCTATCTCTACCAGCACTGCGTAAATAAATTGCAGCACTAAAGGTACCGTCCCTATATGGCCTTTCTTTTATATTTTACAGTAGCGCAACCTAAAATTTTTTAGCGAACGACCCCTATTTTAGCTCGTACGCGCAGTCCGCCTTATGAAACATGCGACATGTTACGGCATCCAGAATAATTTCGAAGGCAGCGAACGTTCGAAACCTCGTTGTGAACATCAATTTTTAAACAGCCTTATGATCTTTAACGCTATTTGGGTTCTTTTTGACAGATGAGTGCCTGGCATACATGTTTGACTAGGTTTCGCAATTTCCGGATGGAAGAAGGGCACAGCGGGAAGAATTAAACTTCACCGCATATGGGACAAATACGAAAATCTATGCATGTTCATATATATACACATATATATTAGAAAGAAAGACTTCGGCATAGGCGGAGAGTCATCTGCGGCGTCTAATTCGCGTAACGAAGCTCAAAATTACGCGGGTAACAGAATGACACTGTTCGCGTACCTTCAGAAATCGTTTAAATTTGCTGAGAAGCTTGATGTTTATTTACATGGAAATAACAAAGGTTATACCGTTATTCGACGAGGCGAAGAGTATTGCGTCCAAAACCAAAGAGGTGAGCACGGACTGGAACCTAGCCGCAAACGTGCCGTTGGAATAACTGGCACGAAATGTGTATGCTCGAGGTAAAAAGAGGATCTGGCTGTTCAAGTCGCGCTTGATGACATGAGGGGTACCAGAGACATGCAGCAGATTTGCACTGAGATAAGCGAATGCAATTCGGAAGAGAAGTTTAGGTTTCTACTAGACTAAAAGCAGCCTGAAGGTGCCCGCAGAGTCACAAGGTGATAGGAACTTGCGCTACGCACTGATAACTTCCTATAAGTGCCGATCGTTACAGAAGAAAATCACAGAGAAAATCTGGTCTGGACGAATATCGCTACCCAGTTCAACAGGCTAAAAAAATCCGGGATTCATATGAACACCGCAATCAGCACCATACAGGAAGCAGATGAGGATGGGACTATCCTATCGAGCAGGGCAATAGTTGACCTCTGCCTAGGACATAAGTCTCACTAAACGGGATTGGGAGCTTTCTTAGCTAAACCTTTAATTCAGTAGACCTACCCGAGTGTACACCTAAGGGCCCGATACCATACTTTATCGGTTCGATGATACGGGCTTCCCAAGACTATTATTTATAATGTAAATTACGGCATGTGCTTACGGCTGACGATGACAGATAGCTACACTGAGGAGACATCCGACACTGCCTCGAGCTATATTATACTCGAGAATTCTGACCGAAATTAATCTTTTACAGGTGTTATAATACGCTTCAGCAAGATGTGGATCTGCTGCAACACATGGTTGAGGTCACAGGGAGTAAAATTCTACGGAACGATGACCTTAGGACTTGTGAAACGGTATGTAACAGAAGCATATGCAGGAGTATTTCAGACTTTTGTGAAGATTATTGAATTAAAAGGGGGCGTATTGGCATCAGTCGATGTTACTTCCCACAAGCCCCCACTAATCAGGAACCTCGTAAAGCGGACTTCCGTGGAAGCGATCTTTAAAGCCATCGAAAACACTGTTGTAAACGAAGATTGTTTCATTGTTAATGAATCAATAAAGGGCATTAACAACCACTGGTTGGCTATAATGCGGCTTATACGTCCTGCAGCGGTCAACAGGATCTTAGCGCGAGGTAAACTGTGCATAGGATAGACCGCTCACCACGTGACCGAAAAACTGATTTCTAGAAACTGGTTTAGCGGTAAACGGCCATTTTAAAAAGAGTCTTAAAAGGATATTACTAATGAAATAAAGTTTGGGAAAGATAGATGACTGCAGCTTGTTGATTGTATTATACAAATCAAAATGTTATTTTTCAGTTGAGTACTTAACGTCTAATCAAAGAAATGTGCATTTCAACAGTACTTTGCTTGAATTCGCTCCAACAGTATTGTAAAAATTCGGTATCGGAAAACTGATCCCGTCGCTCTGAATCGATATTTACTAAATTTGGATTTAATATTAGCTAGAATCTTCAGGGGAATTCAACTTCCATGCAAACCTCACCAAGGAAACGCCAGTAGACGCCAACAGGCAAAAATCCTACTCATCCATAATATAGCCTTGCGCACTACAATATTGCAAAAGTGCAAATATAAGGCATCAACAGCATTTTAATTGACATTGTGGACTGCACTTTTATGATTTACGATCAATGTTTAAAGAAGATCGATTATTTATAGGGCTTTGTCAGCAAAGATGGCATCTATATTACTGTTAAAACATGTGGCCTGTCGATACAGAGATGCTAGGTAATGCCTTGAAGGGTATTATGAGTACATACTAATATTACAATGATGCTAATAATCATTCTAACTTTATAGAGTGCCAGAAGTTTCTGGGCCGCTCCCAGGCGATCAGCTTTTCATTAATACATTTGGCCTGCCACTATTGAGATCAAAGGAGTGTCTGATGTAGCCTTATTTGTTTGTTCATACAAACAAAGATATGCAGCTACAGAAATTATTGATGAAATGCGGCGAATTTCACATCAAGTACTGCTAAATTTAGCTTTGCAAAGTGAGCTACTTCTAATACTACATATGACGTAAACTGTCTCCGGTGTTGTTTCGTTAACGGTTTTGCGTACATATATAGATGAAAATTACATATCGCACATTACTGCACACGGATGAAAATTAACCAATTATTATTTGTTACTATATGCGTTACATCAGAAGCAATTTTACAATGCATTAAAATTATAGTCTCAACCCGCACTATAGCCAAAAACCTTGCCAAATGTTTTCTTCGTACTTTAAAGTCTATTATAATCAGATGTCTCAGATATGTTTATATCTCTATCATAGTCCATTTGTTGCAGACACATAAAATAATCACGATTGCAGGGAATAGTGTATATCTGCACGTTTCTCGACGCCTTTGATGGACTTGGCCAGCCCGATGTTCTCGTCATATACGGAACATAAGATATTACGCATTATAGATATTTTATAGTCATATATTCCGTCCTGTAAAATGAATGATTACCTTCGCTTTGAAAGATTTGTTTCGGAAAAAGTCGGAAATTCCATTCCTATCAGAAGAGAACCGACAGAACAGACAGTAACGTTAACGAAAAGGCTGTCATATAGGACCTCAGTTCAAATAATTTAGAAAAAAGTATAGTAGAATATAATATCCCTCCCATTGTAGTGGCGGTATAAGATGAGCTCCTGATTTTCTGCTTTTAAAGAGTTATCTTGCACACCACTTACATCACTGTTTTGCAACAGACCGCAGTAAGCAAGACGATCTGATTGTTAGATGAGTTATATTTGATACGTAGAAAAAATGTGTTGTACAAAGATTATAATACTATAGATGTAGTATTTTGTTGTCGGATAATACGGTATGTTTTTTGGGAAAACTTCGGACTGAACTTAGATCGCATATTTTGTCAAGAACCTTGACGGACTATAATATTATATTATTAAAAAAGCTATGACTATTTTTGCTTTATTTATTTTTTGTTTTCTAATATTTGCCAGTAAAAAGCTTCTTTTTCTTTATACGAGTTGCAAAACTTTGCTTCAGAGTTTATACTGCGAAGAGGTACTCTGTGAAACATGTTTGACACTTTTTGTGAGTCCTTAAATAGAAATTGCACAACTAACCTAGGACCAAAATTCTTTAGTTGAGTCTTTAACTGAGCTACTACAGAGGTCGCTTGCAAGGGCATGGGCGCAAAAGATAAAAATTAACGTTACTTGTTTACCGATTAAAAATAATGTATGTCAGCTACTTTGACATTTCAGATAATTAACTTTTTAAGCACGTTACCATAGCTTTCATTGAATCGTCCTTGGCTATTAACATTAGTGTAAATTCTCACTGAAATGATGAGCACATAGCTATTTGGTGCATAGTTATCATGTCCAAAGCTAGTTGTGCAATTGCTTAGCTTTGGCCTTCTACAGCGATAACCTGGCAGAGTATAAACACGCAAACCTTAAAAAAAAAGAAACTTTTTTGAAACTCCATCCCCTATCAGTTAAATTATCACTAAGGAACGACTTTTACGTACCCTCTACTTCAACTAAAGAGTCCAAGTTTTTCACATAAGACGAAACTGTAGGAACTGGGTCTCATACATACGGATATAACAGATCATACGACAAGAGTGTATGATCTACGATTTTCTAAACTACGAAAAGGATGGATTTGAGTGCCTATCCTACTAAATTCCTTCTGTCAACTAATGTTTCATATAATCGAAACACTTCGCTAAAAGCCGTCATGTTCTTTATCCTGGACTTGAAAAACACCTCGAGCCGTGCGTTCCTTGTAAATCAGTGAATGCTTGTGTAAGGTGTGTTTATTTAAATTAAGTTGAAAAAAGAAAATTCCTCTTTTGTTTTCCTGCGGTCGGTATGCGTACACGGTATTCATTTAAGCTCGTACGTCAAGGCCTCATACCACACCCTTTTGCCTTCCCAAGTGAAAACCAAGATTCGATTTCGAAGAAAACAGCGATAATCCCAAGTAAAGTGCGTGCTAAAGTAATTATCGAAAAGGATCAATCGCCTTTGCTTGAAAGAGTTGTTCCAAATCAGCAGTACCAAGCCAAGACTTTAATTAGCTTTCACCATTATAAGTAGAAATAATTTGATACCATGTCATTACTACAAGTGAGGGCAACATCGGAAAACAGCAGATTCCACACCAAATTAATTATTCAGTTACATTTTTTTTTATGAACTCTAAGATGTATATAATATAAGTAGATAAGCTGAATAAAGGCAAAGTCACATCAACAGGCGACTACAGTCAAGCGTGGCACCTGAGGCACTTGCGTAAGCGATGTGATTTACTCAAGTCTTAGCCAGAAAAAAACTATTGGATCTATCAACCGAAAGCTCCACCAGTCACTGAGTGTACCGAAATATCTGGCGAATGCGTCGAGAATATTCATGTGTAGCCTGGATAGTACTCCATTAATTTTATGTTCCATGCCGGTCGATACAGAACTCATTCCTGACCTCCATTACTGCTGCTTCTAATATGTTATATCTCTACGCTAAATAAAAAATAATTGCATTCTGGGTAGAGAAAACCCTGATTATTGTGCCGCGTATGTGAAAAACCGCTTCGGACAGGTCAGAGTTGCAAACATTTTCAGGTTCTAATCGGACGTTATATTTAATCTTTCGCTAAAGGTTAATTGGATAATGGTTTTCACCATAAATATTGCAATATAATGCGTCATAAAAAGTATGTTTAATTAATTATGTATTTCAGAAATGGCACTATTATCTTATCATCCTCGATTTTGGAGTAGAATGTGACTGATTGTGTTTTGGATCCCTTATGTGTCTTAACTTCTTTGTACTTTTAAATAGATCTTGAGCGAATTTGTGGATAACAACCTGACTGACTGTTCACATTGAGGTCCAAAAATTACTTGCGTATATTAGGAAAACACCACAAAGATATTTAGTAGCTTCGGACTAATTGTCGGTCTTGACAACAAAACTGCACTTGTCAAGTAAGAGCGACACCGTGCTAATACTCGTGACTTATTCCCATTGAATGAATGCAGTAGTCCACATAGTCAAATATATAAGAAGAATAAAGGTACTCGATATACAAATATATTCTCCAGTTACATACAAGGGTTTAACCGTGATATGCTTTTAAAAGTGGTATGCCAGTAAAGTGTCCCTGACGGATAATCTGCGATTACAAGGATTTGTAAACTTTTATAACGATCTATTGACAGGTAACATGTCAGGTAACAACTAACAGAGTATTATTAATTGACTAGTACTTAAAAGGAACCGCAAGTTTTACTTCAGGTTATCTAGGCTAATTTATTCCTCTTGTTGGTTGATTTGTTGCTCTACGTAAATTACAGATTGAATACACATTAACAGTTACCCTATTAAAGTCACCCTGCCTCACCGAAGCCATGATTATAGATTATCCTATTCAACAATAATATCAATGAATTTAAGCCGCGGCACACCGGGCCCAATATAAATTAAACTTCGATTGCAGACTTCAACACTCTATCAGTGGCTTCGTCACCTTGATGCAACTACTTTATGCCTAAACATGTGATCAACGAATAGACGACAGCTGTGATGGTCCAAGATCCTCAATGGCTGAGTCACCTGCACCTTGTTGGTATAAATATGCAACCTTCGTTTTTAAGTGCTCGATGATAGGCCAAGCTGTTGATGACGACGCTACCCTGAAGTCATTGAACCGATAACCAGGCTACTCTATACTGCAGCGATGTTATAATTTGCTCGACCGGTTCATAATCCTTCTGACTTTACCTTATCACCGACTGAGCAGGTCTCTTCGAATTTCCTAACCACTTGTCTCAATGTTCATATTGTCAACAAGACGCGTCATCCGTATTATGTGCACACTTGTGGATTTTTTTATTTCAATAGCAAATCTCTACGAAAAATGAGCATTCTTCCTAATTATAGCATTTCAGCATTGCAAAGCGCACACGCTGCTGAGTTTACTATTAACCAGTCTGGTAGCCTATGCCTGTTTACGGGGTAGAGGGACGAAGTTTATTTTAGACCTTTAGCTTGCATTATGAAATGTTCACGCCTGCATTGCATAAACAAAACAAAAAAAAACGCTTATTCGCTTTTTCGCAAAATAAACATTTTAGTTTTCATTGTGTATTAGAAAGTGTAAGTTTTGGACGTGCAGACTATAAGGCGATAAATACAACAATGTATGCGGTTTAGGATACTAGAAGTTACAGTTTGAAGGAACGTTTATTATTCGTAAAAAATTACTATCGAAATTATGAATCTATTTTTACCCCGCAAGAGTCTACGGAATTCGGGGAACACTTTTTATTAGCGAAGAAACTGCTAAAAACATGACAAGATTGACTTATTTGCAAATAAAGTTGAACGATTACAAATCGGGCGAACAAATAACAACATCGTTGCTGTACAGAGCAGTCTGAACGCCGAGACAACGACTTCAACATGACGTAGCGCTCTGCAATTCGACCTACCTTGAAACATTTTGGGGCTCATTTTAAAAAAAGGGTTACATACTTATCCCTGATAGGGTACAATTAATTTTAAAATTAAAAATTCAGGATCATCACAAGCGCCGTTTATTTGCTAATCACATTTTGTAGAGTAAGGCACGTGCTAACGATTTCTTCGATCACATCTTTTCTGATAAAATTTGTTTTACGATGAAGAACTGTCTAAATAAACGGAACTGTCGCATTTGGGATTCAGAGAATCCAAATGTGGGTGTCGAGCCTTTGTGGGATGTGGCTTGCAAAGAAAAGATGTTTTTGGATTTTTTTGCTTTAAAAATGATGAGGCATAGTTGATGGCAAGTTCTACCGTGACATAATAAAAACCTTTTTGTGAATCGAGATAAGGATGTTTGATGTAAATGACCTATAGTTTCTACAAAATAAAACAATTTGCCACTCCGCACAGAGAAGCTTATAATCTAAGACATTCTGGCGCAAAAAAACAAATATCGACTGTGGAACAGGTACCTTACAAACAGCGAAATCTGTGTTCGATATGGAAGTAGGCCCGGAATTTCGATATTTGTCCTCGAGAAAAAGTAAACAGTAAAAATCCACCAGTCCAGACGTCTGAATGTACGTTACACCCATACAGAACAATGGTCAGTACAAATCTACAAACCTTTTGAGTCGGCGTCTAAATCTTATATGCGGATTCAGACGAAGTTTTCCACACGACAACGTGTATGTTACATCAATACCTCTCTGCCAACCAAGTTACAACCAGGTTGCGTAGTGAAGCATATTTAATTTAAAATTTCGCCTATAAGGGTTTCAATAACGCACAATCGATTAAGATTCATTCAGTGCCGCCAACCGGACTGAGTTATTCTTTTACTTATTTTAATGGAAGAAGGCAGCTTTTCAGACTCCTGGGCACACTATTGCCGTTAGGCCGCCCATCAAAGGTGGCGTCACGCCCAAACGTCAGTCAGGGAGCTAAAAAAGACGAGAATTATCAACAGAAAAATATTCGCTAGAAGTTTATTTTTTTTAATGAAATCGAAAGCGGAAGGTAAATGTGTAGGCATCGACGTAAAACAGATGTGCCCAAGCGGACGATTAAACTATTCAGGAGAAGCAAACAACAGTATAAGAGAAGACGACATAACAGTGACTTTCGAGTGTCATTAACTCATGCTGCTGCCGATTACGGTGGAAGGGGCGTATACCAATCAAAGAGGAGCTGTACACATCAGTAGTTGCTGTAAAACAAGCACGATATGGGTCTGAGGGGCACGCAGGTCCCAGTAAGAGTAACTCACCAACTAAGTGGTCAGGGATGCGCTTTGTTACGCTTAATTCTTATAAAGTTTATTTAGAAGATGAACCTAAATTATCTTTACCGATTTGTATAGGAGTTCAAGAAAATTAGTAGCGGTATTCTGACGCGGCAGAATGTTTTACCTTATACCTGAGAAGCGTATCTCTCCCTACGAAGTCAGTTTACTACTGTGATATACAGCAATGCTTCGATTGACTGCCAAAACTTGTGTCTGAATGCCACCGTAATCGTTATAAAGATTCACTTCCATTAGCGCACTCCTTAATTTACTATAAGTCAATTGATATGTAAGCATGTACGTATAAATAGATCAAGAAAAGGTTGAGAATTTGGCTACACTGTCTACAGAGCAACACATGCTTGAGTGGTCCAAATTCCGGGTTTTTCTTTTGAGTAATTGTTCGCTCAATACATACGTCTTCGAAATCATGAGAATGGTTTTTGAGCTCAGTTCGTAAAAATGGACCACATGTCTGCCGCTTTTCCTTGATCGTCTAAAAGATTTTTAAAAAGTTATTTCTTGGGGTTTGAAAAAAGGAAGAAGTTATAGGAGCTAGATTTGGTGAACGCCCCGGGATGATACAACATAAGTATCGAAATTTCCTGCAAAAAGAGAATTTAAGTAGAGATAATGCGTGCGCATTATTTTCGTAGAAACTATTCCCACGACCTGATTCCCAAGCTTTAGGTTTATTTTGGCAGGCTGCATTATGAAACCTTCTGGTTATATTTTTTAAAGGCCATTAAATCACAACGCGAAACATTATGCAGAAGAGAAAAGCAGTAAAATGAAGCGTGCTTGTTTACCTAATTTCACCTGTATTCGGTCTGGGCTTTCCTTTCAAGTGATTTATTAGACGGTAGCCTTTTTGTACACCTGCCATATCTGTAACCCTCACCTCCTCATCAGCAATAACATGTCAATCTTTGGCCTAACCATGCTACGCCCACTGGTATTATTTTCATTTTCTAAAAAGTACAATACGCATCCAAAAATCACTTATCTCAAAACAATACATATGGTATATGTTTGAATGTTTTAAAGTTTGACGCATGGAAAGCAGACGAGTATCATGCCATAAATCCGGTCACGAATCAGTTTTTAGCTTTCGAAAACCGTGCGTTTTACGTTTTTTTTACCGAGTATCAAGCCAATGAGACACTTGAATCATCGTGGTTAATAAATACAGCTTTTACTCTATTACTAACCTAGTAAAGCTAGAGTTAACATACGCATCCGAATCCATCACCAAATATAAAGCTCATGTTCCAGGCGAACTGACAGGAGAACTGATTTAAAGTTGTTCGGTTGCTATTACTACCACTGTCATTAACAGTTCACACCATTAATGCTAAAACGTTTGATTTTGGATATCAATTTGCTTTTGATGACATTCTTGCTCTGAGATAGATGCCGCAATAAATTAATGATTCTACGTGTTACTAAATAAACTTTCTCAAAAACAGTGTTGCCCTTATTAGCATTTACCTAACTCTTGGCCTTTTATTATCTTCTTCTCTTTTTGTGGCGTTAGTACCTATTCAAATTATGCTTTGCTCTTATTGTAACTGCGGATTCCCGTAGCTACGCTTGGCCGACCTTATCATAGTGTCTGGCTGAATGGCCTTTTTCCTTAAGATGTTAGGGCGCATAAAACAAGAATCCTTAGATCGAATTAATTGACTTGCGTTTGTGTTTTAAAAACAACGGAAATCTAATTGTGAGAGCGAACAAGAATAACAAGAATGCCTCTAGTGTCTAATTTTTGTCTTTTAGCATCAACGTTGTGTAAAAAACATTTTATATTAGAAATGGGTAATTATTGCATTATGGTTCTCTGTCTAATTATTTTCAATCGTGATTTAAAAATAATTTATTTGTGATAACACCATGGTAATGGTATAAACAAAAAACGATTGGTTTTGGTTTAGGTAATTGGAAAAAATTAGCACAGGTCAACACTGCACGTGCTAGAATAATCTCGTAGGATGGTAGTTGTTGTATTATCTAACGCCACCGACATGATAGGTTTAGCCCCAGCTTCACCGAACATATCTCCAATATCCTTTCTGTAAAAATCATACTCGCCGTCTGCCGTAAACGATGTAAACCTGTTGTTTTGTTTCAACTTACCCGTTAAGACTA